AAAGAGTTTTTTTATTTTTATAAATCTTATTAAATTACATATTGTATATTAACTTTATTTTTAAATATGAAAATTTTTTTTCATCATTTTAAAAACTTTTTCTATTAATCCTCTAATTACATACAAAAAAAATATTTACAAGAAGTTTTTATATCTTTTTACTTATAAAGTCTTAATATTTTTTCTAAAATAATTGAAGTGTGACTTAAAAAGTCATTTCTATTTTTTCTCTTTTATTTACAAATCTCTTTACTTAAAAACTTGACTTCTAATAACTAAAAAAGGTTAAGTAATATCTTTGATATCAATGATAAAAAAGTTTTTAAAAAAGAAGAACCAATTGTAAAGTATTTGAAGACTTATTTAACCTTTGAAATAAAAGATTTATAGAGATTTTTTATAGCAAAAAGACTTATTTTCTTTCTTTTTGACTATCTTGACTCTCTTAGTACTTTTACTTTCATAGTTTTTTAAAGAATTTTGCCTACTTCAATTTGATTCTAAATTTTAAGTAGTACAAATTCTCACAAAAGATGATTTTAAAATCTAAACAAGTTTCTATTGATTACATTTATATGTTTCAATAATATCATTAATAATTAAAAAGAATGTTTCAGAAATATTTGTCCCTAGAAGCTTAAGTTTTTTAATAAAGATATCATAATATCAAAAGATTAAGTGATAGATAATATAAATTTCGATTTCTATTTTTTATTGAAGTTTCTCAGATTATAATAAAACTTTAATAATAAAAAAGTTGAAATTTAAATGTTTTCTTGAGATATTTTAATCTAATGTTTATTTAAATGAAGAATCAGTTAGATTGACCTGTCTGATACTATAGATAATAATAAAGAAGATTTTTTTTAAGATTCAAATGAAACAAAAAGATTATTTCAATTAGGTAAATAAATTTCTTTTGAAAGAAATTGATTTTATTTTTGAACTTTTTTGGTAAGCTTGAATTATCTTCTTTTTTTAATTAATTTTTACCTTTTCATCTTTTTAATTTAATAATTTATTGATTTTCAGATCAATTAATAATAACAAACTGTTAACAATAATTTTAATAAATAAAGATTATAATCAACCTATCAAGAAAATATAATATTATTTTTAAAATCTAACTTAAAATACTTACTGTATATATAAAGATAAGTTGGTTATATTATAAAAGTTTGTAAATTATTGTAGATTTTGATTTAATTTCTCAATAAAATAAGGCATTATGGAAAAAAAATTTTTTTTTTACTGATCCTTTGATTATATATAAAAAAGATATTCATAAAAAGTTTTTATACTTCTTTGCTAATGACGTTTTAATACTTTCCTTAAAACAACTTAAAATATAACTTCAAAAGTCACTTCTATTCATTTCTTTTTGTTTATAAATCTTTTCACTCAAAAACTTGACTTCTAGTGATTATAAAAAGTTAAGTGACACCTTTGTATCAACAATAAAAAAATTTTTAAAAGAAAAAGAACTGATTGTGAAGTACCTGCAGACCTGTTTAACCTTTGAAATAAGAGGTTTATAGAGGTTTTTTATAGTAAAAAGATTTATTTTCTTTCTTTTTGACTGTTTTAGTTCTTTTAGAACTTTTACTTTTATGATTTTTTGAAGAATTCTGTTTATCTCAGTTTGATTCTGAATTTTGAGTAATACAAATCCTCACCAAAAATAATTGATTGATATAAATCACATTAGTTTTAGAAATATAAATAAGTTTTTATTAGTTCTATTTACATGTTCTAATGATATCATTGGTAATTGAAAAAAAATTTTAGAAATGTTTGCTTTCAAAAGTTCAAGTTTGTTAATAAAAACTTCTATAATACTAAAAGATTAAATAATGAATAATGTGGATTGCAAACTTTTATTTTTTACTTAAGTTTCTTAAATGGTAACAAAGGTTTAATAGAAAAAGTTAAGGTCAAATACTTTTCTTGAGATATTTTAATCTGATACTTATTTAAACAAATGATCAGTTAGATTGACTTATTCAATACTGCAGGTGATGAAAAAAAAAATTTCTTCTAAGGTTTAAGTAAAGCAAAAAGACTATACCAATTAGATAGATTTCTTTTGAAAAAAGATTGATTGATTTTGAATTGTTCCCTTTTTCCAATCATTTTTTTCTTTTCTCCTTTTTAACTTATCAATTCCTTGGTTTTCAGGTCAATTAACAATAACAAACTATTGATAATAATTCTGATAGATAGAAATCATAATCAATTTATCAGGGAAATATAATATTATTCCCAAAATTTAACTTAAAGTATTTATATATGAAGATGTGTTAGTCATGTTGTGAAAGTCTGTAAATCATTGTAGATTTTATTTTAATTTCTCAATAAAAACAAGCCATCATGACATGATTGGGGTTAAAAAAAAAAAAAAAACAAGCCATCATGGCATAATTGTGGGTTTAAAAAAAAAAAAAAAAACAAGCCATCATGGCATGATTGCGGGTTAAAAAAATAAAATAAGATTCCTACAGTACTTCACATTCGTCATCAAATTCGATTATCATTTGCGTGAGAAACATACAGTATATGCGCCTCGTTTCGAATATGTTTATTGGCTTATCAATAGCGAATATCTCTCCCGTATGAAACTTGTTTGATAGTGCAATTTAGTATCTTTTGAAAAAAAAAGCTTTCTAGTGTTACTCAAGTATACTGGAGAGATAAATGAGGCGCATAGTATTTATCACTTCATGCTAGATTTATTTTTCTGGTTGGATTAAAAAAAAAAAAAAAAAGCAGATATAGTATGCATATAATCACTCACTGCTCAAGCGGTCTTAGCAAACAATGTAAGGCGGGAAATTAATTGGTGAATTTCGGGATGCTGCCTAGAATTCTCCTGTTTAAGGCACCGGAATCATTGAGATCTTTTTTACTAAACCTCCAACAGGAACAGAAATTATTAAGCTTATGTGTCGACCAGTGGGCAGCTATTATCACCACCCGTGTAACTTTTCAAAGAAAAATTATCTTAAAAATCGGAATCGGGTTTTCTTGAAGGAATGTATTGTATATACCAGAAAAGAAGGTTAAACAATCCATATACTGTATAATACTCCAAACAATGCAAGACTAAAAGAAACATCATTAAAGAAGTTTAAAAACCCACATCCACATAAATTCGTTATGAGGATAAAACTCCAATAGATCCACCGCAACCATCGCGGACCAAAAAACTCTTCAATAAGACCACCACCGCTTGATGGGTAGCTGAGAAAAACTCCACCCTAGTGGATTGATAAATCAATTCGTTTTCTGAAAAAACTTGTTGAATGAATTTTATTTGCTAGTTGGGGGCCTACCATGGTTTTGAACGGCAAAGGAGATCAGGGTTCTGTTCCGGAAAAAGTACACGAGAAATGGTAACCTCAGCAGTCGTGCAAATTACTCAATCTCAAGGCAGATATTGTATAATTTATTCAATTCCAAGGCAGATATTGTATTTACCTAATACTGAGGCGATATTGTACAGCTTACTCAATCCCAAGGCAGATATCGTATAATTTACTCAACCCCAAGGTAGAATCTGGCTCCAAGTCAAAAAATAAATCACTATATTTGAGCATATCAACAAGCAGAAACCAACAAGGGCTCCTTTAGTAAAGGCAAGTGAACCGAGAAGAACTCGGGCTTTTAATCTCCTGTCATATCTCGATGAATTGTAATTTGAAGAAAGTGTCTTAATATTCGGGTTTAATTCAAATCCTTTTGGGAAGAAATCAAGTTAATTAATTAAAACTCCAAAATGGACGGCGAGTTTTGCCTAAAGATTAAATTACTTATTACTCGAGAGAACAATGGCGAAAATGAATAGATGCAAAAAACTTTGAAAAAAGAAAAGTTAAATAAGTAAATAAAAAATAAATAATAAAAATCACATTAGAAATGGTAAAGAATTATTAGCACGATCCGAAATCCCTCGGTGAAAACAATGATTAATACGGTCAAAATTTTTTCAAGCGTAATTGAGAAAAAAAAAAGCAACAATCGTAGTTGAAGTTTCTTAACTTGAATATTAAAATGCGAGTTTCTAGTGTGCTATTTTAGCAGGCAGAAGGGATGAGGTTATATGAAGTGAATGTGTGGTTATGGTGTCAAAATTCAGAACGAGAAATATTTATAGTTCATCTAACAGTAGAACATTGTGACCATAGTAGTCGGAACCTACTGATGTGTATATACAAATAATATATTGAAGGAAAGTAAATGGCGCTCAAGAATTATGCCCATAACTCATTGTCTCAAAAGCTTAAGTTTAAACGAAATGGTCCTCGGCGTAAATATTGGTTGCGGTATTTAATATTTACAGTAAATCAAAACTTTGAAGAGTGTATGGATCAATTAATAGAACAGTAAGGATGCCTTTCGAATCTACCAATAGATGAGTTATAGTTGAACGTCTATCTCTATGTCACAATTGTAATTTCAAATGTCAGTTTCGGATGACTTGAATAAATGGTATTAATTATATTAGTAGCGATAGTAATCAATGGTTTTTTTTTTTTTTCGTGTCTGTCCCTGGCTTACGTGGACATAGAATCAAGAAATTCGATTGAAAAATGATAACAGATTTATTTAGTAACCTATTAATTCAATAAGACATTGAATGTACTGTGATTCGAAATAATAATTTTACGTGATCAGGTTATTGCTTGACCATCTTAAAATTTTATCAATAAAATCTTTGTTATACTCTTTTCGATCCTATAGTTGCTTCGTTACTTAAATCGAACATGGTTATCCGAAATATCACATGATTATAACATGATATCTGCGTATTATTCTCTTAAAAGCTTTTCGAAATTATAGCTTTCAAAAATCTTATTCTTAAATGATGATTTATTACACCATTCCGAGTCTTAGCAATAAATGCTAAAATTAATTTAAAAATCGGTATCGCATTATTTTTCAGAGATATGGGAATTACTTTTCGCATAATGTAATATGCATATGAATGAATAATCGTGTGATCAATGAAATCTAATGCTCCTAGACAAGTCCGTTTTGATACCTGTCTTCTCACCTCCGTAGGAACCTTCCAGTTGTGTAAACACACGCTTGAAACTTTTAATCTTTTTCTTTGCCTTCTCATATTTACTTCGATGTTTGACACGTGGGTTTCGCTGTTCTTTCTTGCGACGAGGGGTAAGACCTTTATTCTTAAGAATCTGGTAGTTGATTTGACGTTTGGCACCATCGGGAAGAGTTTCATCTTCATAAATAATCCTGCAATCGTAATGTTAATGATTCACTATCAATATCAATAAAACTTCAAACATATGATATAAATATATAGGCTTACTCTGATTTCTCGGACTGAATTGTCTTTTCCTTCGCTGCTTTCTTGGCATTTTTCACGGCTTTATAGAAATCATCTTCACTACCGATATCAATAGCCGCATTTATATCATCATTCAAATATTGATCATCCAAATCTGCATCATTTTCTTCCTTATTTCCAGGTATTTTGTTATTTTTAGAATTATTTGGATCTTTGTAAGGGACGTCGACATCTCCGCTCTGAAGTATTGCTCTGTCATGCTTTACCAGTTTCTGCGAGATACGGTAAATTAATCAAATCATAATTAAGCGACTTAAATATACATTTAATAACAACACTCACCTGATCAATTCTTGCAACGTAATGCCTTAAGGATTTCCTTCTCTGTGCTTTATCTTCTGCATCAACGTCGTCCAAAGTGTCAAGATCACCAAAGTCCGTGGATTCCTGGTATAATTAAGTTAGTTTTTATTCAGTTTAAAACTTATATTTATCCTTGTTGTGGAACATCGGTGAAATATGAAATACCAGTTTTCTCTTGTTCGATGGTTTTTTAAAACTGACAAATTCTTCTTCGACTACAAGTGTCGGTTGTACTTGCGAAATTTCTTCATCTTTATCGTAAACTAATGATTGTGGTTCTTCCTTTTTAGTCTCCACGTCGATTTCGAACTTCTTTTTTTTTCTGTTCTTGGATTTCTTTTTTTTTGGAGGCACCTCTTGTTCTCCCTTATCCATTTTTTCGACCTCAATATTTGTAGAAACTAATGGGACAAATGAACGGCTTGTTAAATTATAATTTCTCAGAAGCAATAGAACCGGAATAAATACAGCTTAAATAAACCTTCGTCCGTTTGATCAAGGTCGTCTATAAATGTCTTAATGAGACTCCCAACGCTCAGCTCCAATTTGTCCAATTTGTCCAAAGTAACTTTCAATTCAACGAGCGCATTAATTACAGGATGTTCTCGTAAGTTCCTCGTTCCCGAAGATTTCAGAACAAGAAAGAAAGAAATGTTTGTTAGATAATGCACCAATATTTGATGCTTTATCAACAAAAATTTTATTGCCGGGCTATTTGTCTTATTTCTTTGTCTGGCTCTAATAAAGTAAAATATTAGCATCAGAGGATAAATATATATATATATATATATATATATATTAAATTAGTATAAAATACTTGCTTTTCCAGCAATAGTATCGTCTCATTGAGTAACGACACCTTCTTCTCAAATTCGCTTAGCAATTCAATGAGTTCTGGTGATTCAGTTTGTATTATTTTTAACCTTTCTTCATGTGTTAAAGTGGTTAAGCGGTCTTTGCTCAAAACTTCAGTTTGCATTTCGTTTGAGCTTAAATTTCGGTACGCGAGAAAAATCGGAAGGAGTTTGGGTTGTTTAAATTTCCATAGTAACGCAATGTTATTGGGACAAGAAGTTATCATAGGTCACCAACCTGTCGAGAAGAATTTGGCGAAAATCTCCGTCGATTTCATCCTTACGAGTTTTGTCACTCTAAATAAAGGTGAAATAGATTAGACAAACACAAGTAATGTCGATTACTCAATTTATTTAAATTTAATAAGTACCACTTTAAATCCTGATAACTCTCCGTGCTCCAAAAAGTCTTCTTCGCTCATTTGATTGATTCTTTTTTTCTGTAATCTCAATGCTTCTTTCTCTTCCTCCCTTGCTTCTTCCAAATCGTCGACTTCATCGGCGTCGTAATAATATTTTTTGCGACTACCCCAAGTCGCATCCAAATTTGAACCTTCTCCACTTGAAGTTTCCGAATCTTCACCGAATTCCCCACCTTTATCATCATCCTCGGAAGTACCTCCAGTCTCCAGTGCAAATACTTCTTCCTCTGATAACTCGGTTTCATCTATCACGAAAATCATCGTTAACGAAACCAATTGCCGAATAAACCAAACTTCTCATCAGCAATACCATAGTCTTGATCCTCATACGTGTCTAGTAAGATCTTTTCTCTTCCGGCGTGAACTATTTTACAGATTGATTGATTAGTCGCAGAAGTGAAGGAATTAATTCAATTAATTATACCGAGGGAAATTCCGTGTACATTCGTCTTCAGAATCGTGTTCAATGTCATCCCACGTTTTTATTGCTTTTATTCTTCCACCTGGATTATCATATCTATCGCTTCCTGTCTCGTATCTAGGAGGTTTGCCCATTGCAACTTTTTTGATCGATCAAAAAATTTCCGATCAGTTTGTATTTCACTTTTATCACGTGAACAAACACCTGATTTGATTAATTCATAGATTCTTTGAATCAGATAATTAAAAGCAAACATTTTTATTATTATTATTATCCCCCATTTTTGTATATAATGTAAATTTTTTAGGATCACAATTATAGGGTCCTATAAATTCCTGTCTACCTTCGAAAATAATTACCCATATACGTACACCCGCTCTTTGAGTTCGGCCCCCATTTTTTAATAATACGTATATAATGCAAATTTTTAGGATCACAATTATTAAGGTCCGAAAAATCCCTGTCCGCCTTCGAAAATAATTACCCATATCTCACCAACACATCCGATTACTATGACCTCGATCATTACTCCATAACACGCGTTTGTGATTAAATCCAGTTCTTTTGATTTGCAATTTGTTTACGCATAAGGGAAGAATTATTATCCATAAATTCTACACCAAATAAAATACAGTAGTTGAATGATTGATGCAGGGAGACACTTCTAAATTAACTTACTTGTCATCCAGAAAAACACACTTCGAAAATAATTAGCCGTACACAATGGATTGGAGTTTAGTTTACTCCCTACTGATTCGTTAAAGTACACATTGTCATCTTGAGTTATAAAATAATTACCATATTCGACAAACTATCAAATTTTAACTGAACGCTCGGTATTCGGATAAACCTATGCTTAATACTGTAAATCTGCTGAATTAAAAAAAATTCGGAATTGCGCGTTTTGATCCGAATAATTGTTATGCATGCAGCAGATCTAACCCTGAATGCCACTTAATGCAAAACATAAATAGTCGGTTTCGTCAAATCGAACATAATTTATAGTAGGATGAAATGGGAAACATTTGCAAGAAAGTAAAAAAAGAATCTTCGCCATCAGAATCAGCAAACATGGCATCAAATTTTCGGTACATTGAAGGGAGAAGATTCCATAACGTTGATAATTCGGAATACTCTTTTCCGAACGACGACAACGAATTAGACCGATTACACCTGCAGCATTTCTTAATCAGGCATGTTTATCAGAGTAATTTTTCTGCTCCCGTTGAGGATATTTTAAATACTGAGGGTTCGAAGGTGCTTGATGTTGGGTAAGATAAAATTATAACACCGATTATGGTCTTTCTAAAAACAGTAATTACAAAAGGACTTAAATAGCATGACTTATTAAGTTGTGGTGCAGGTTCTTGGATGTTTGAAATGGCAACCAATTACCCAAAGGCGGAAATCGTAGGATCAGACATCTCTCCCATTCAACCTTCCTTTATTAAGCCTCACAACGCCAACTTTGTTTACGCGAATATACTGGATGAATTACCATTTGAAGATAATACTTTTGATTTTGTATTTCAGCGTTTGATGTTTAGCGCAATTCCCTTGGATAAGTGGCCTGGTGTCGTCAGGGAATTGACCAGGGTTTTAAAGCCTGGCGGTTATTTAGAGGTACCAATCACATATGCCTATTGTTTGAATGTTATTTTATTTAGTAATGAATGATGTTTATATAATATATAACATAAGTTATCGGAATATACCTTTCCATGCATAGTGGGTCCTGTCTCGTCTATAATTTTTAACGCCGGTAAGTAACGCGATCAATATTAACCATCGAATGTGATAAACGTTAACAATTTTCACTCGTAACCATTAAACCATTAGGCAGCGAATTTTTTGCAAAGCGAAATATTGAACATAACATTGCATACAAATTGCGATCATTCGTCGAGCAGAACGAACAACTCGAAGATATAAATGAGGATAAAAATATAATACCCTACTCTGATAAATTTGGAAAATTAAGCCAAGCGGTATTTAAGCTTCTTATTTCGATGAACTCTTTGTTATCCGACATTACTAATATCAACGTTTGTTTGTTTGTTTTTTAATAATAGACTGTCGATAATGCTAAGGTCGGATTGGCCAATGCAAGACTTGTTATTCTGGGATCTCTGGAAATGAGCGCTGAAGAGTTTGATGAATTGTTGGATAACACAACCAAAGAATTGAGAGAACTCGAGAGCTATCACGACGTTATCCGTGTTTACGCACGCAAAAAAGGAAATCATTAGCACTATTTTTCACACACCACCTTCTATGCGCAATTAAATTTTTTTTAAGATTTTTTATATAGAAAATTAAGTCTGCATTTGGGAAATATGCACAAATGGAAGAGGAAGTCTTTTATTTAACATCTCGCTCATATCATTATAAAATTATAACAATTTTTGTAGAAAAAGTAACATCTATATTTTAGTATATTATGTAAAAAAAAAAAAAAATTCACGATCATTATTTTTTATTTACAGTGTTTACTCGCCTGTTTTCATCAATTAATTTGACTTTAGATATAACTTTGAGAGTAATTTGTCACTCTGTTTACTATTCAGGTAAACACCCTTTCGACTATAAACTTCATTATCTGCTTATCAATTATTATTATTAGTTTACTATTTAGTCTTCCCATTTTTTTTTCTTGTTTTTATTTATTGTTGAAAATCGAAATCACTGTTAATTGTTAGGAAATCTTCTGATTTTATTTATTCTTTGGATTTTAATGCTTTTCTTTCAAATATTAATCTTAAATATTTTTTTTAGTTCTATATACAGTATATATTTATTAAAGTGATTCAAAACTTTCTATTAATTTATTTATCAATTCTGAATCCGATATCCTTTTCTTAATATTTAAGATTTACAGTATATCTTCTACTATTGGTTTTTAGTCTAAGAATTCTACATAGAAATTTAAAATATCCTAATTTGTCTCTATAATTTATTTTATTAATTTTATTGAGTATACCTTGAATTTTACTTTTTTTTTCTTGTGATAATTCATATTATAGTATATTAAAAAATTATTTATTTATTTTTATTTATTTGTTTATTCTTTTTTAAAGTTTTTTATATTTACAGTATAATTAATCTTATTAATCAAATAAAAATTTTTTTTATGATCCTTAGTCAGATTAAGTATATATATTTATTAAATATTTGTATACTTTTCATGCAAAATGTTTTACTAAAATTAAGTTTCTATATAACTATTCATTTCTATTTTATAAATTTTCTAAACTTTAAATACAATTTTAGAAGTAATTTATCATTTTATTAATAGTTTAGGTAAAAACCTTTTCAACTATTAATTTTATTGTTTACAAGTTACTACCATAGATTACTTTGTGAGATTCTGATAATGCTTAAAACCCAATTACTTCATTTCAAATTTAACTCTTCTTATTAAAATTTTCTTGAGATTTTTAATTTTTAAAATTTTTTTCTTTATTAATGGTTATCTTTTTATCAAAGACGTATTTTTCAAACTTAGAAGATATTGAGGTCTTTTGATCTTGTCTATTTTGCAAATCTCTTGTATTTACTTTCATTTAATTATTTTTTCATATTTTATATTTCAGATTTTTTTTTTTAGACTTGATTACAAACTCTTTTCTATATTTTTAGTATTTATCTTCTTGCTTTTTTTTTTTATCTATCTATTTTTCATAACATTTTAAATTTGTCATTTTCTGAATAAGATTGTTTTTTATAAAGTCAATAGATCTATTTTACTAGTTCAAAAATTTATTTATTTAATTTTCTAGTTTTTTTCAATTATTTATAATCAACCTAATATTTTTTTTTCAGGGGATTTTTTTTTCTTTCTTGTAAGAGTCTTTTAAAGTCTATGAAAATTTTTTCTATTCCTTTCTTATATACTTTTATAATTAATTCTTATAAGTTGAATATTTTAGCAAGTTGTTTTATATTTTATTTTAAAGATTACATGTAATACATTTTACATATTTATATAGATCAGGTTATTTTGTAATTAATTTACTTAAGATCAATAGTTCACTATTAATCAATTTAATGAGAAAACTTCTTTGTTAAGATTGTTTAAAGAATATAATTTATATTCATTCTTTATTTTTTTATATCAAATTTCATATATAGTCTTATTAATCTAAAGTTTAATAATATTATTTTTTCTTTGTTCTATTTTATTATATCTACTGATAAACTATTATTTTATAATTAATATTTTTAATAAACTATCTAATTGAATTATTTATAATTATATTTGGCTACTTTATTTCTACAATAAGCTTATATAAAATGAGATTACTTTATTCAATTGGTAGAAATTTTAAGATTTTTTTAACTAAAATATCTACTTTTTTATTATAAGAATTATCCCCATATACCTTAACTTTAATAAGCTTTAAATCTATATTTTTCTTTTGAATTGACTCAATTATTTGTATCTATAATAATTAGTCTTTTTTTTTTAATCATCTTTTATAAATTCTTCTTAAATCTTTTTTTTTAATTATCTTTTATTTGAAAATACAAGTTTAACTATTTATACAAATCCCAATAGTACTATTGGTAAAAACCATCAGAAGTATAATTGCAATTGCTATCAATTCTACTCTTATAAATAAGAGCCAGTTGTTTACTCCTATCTAAAACTTGCTTTTTCTATCTATTGTTTCTATTTGAATTTATGCTATTTCCATTCTAATTTCTTTTTTTCTATAGTTGATGGATAATCTATCAAAGTAAAGGATTAACTTTTCTTTAAATTTCAAATTTTATTAAAGTATTTTTATTAGATGGTCTTTATATATTTCTTCTTTAATATTTTTTTAAATAATAGCTTCTTCCCAAGTTTTTATATTTATATGATCTATTATACTTTGTTATTTTAAAAAAAGATTTTGAGAGAATTGTGATTAGTATAAATTAAATTTCTAATTATTTTTTTAAAGGTAATCTTGAGATTTGAGATTATTATTTTTTATATTTTTCTAGTAAATTTTCTTATATTAAAATATAATATGGTATATAACTTCTCTATACTTTCTTTTATAATATAACTATTATCTTATATTATTTTTTCTGAACATCCAGAACAGCTTCATAGCTTTGTTTTCTGATTGTTATCAATACTATA